GTTTGGGACATTGCATCCTGTCCTGGATTTTCGTTACGCGACAAATGGCTTGTGCGATTACTCTGTTTCGTGTTTGATTCGGGCGTCCCTGGTGGGGTTTGGGCATCCCTGGTTGGGTGTCTCTGGAAATGAGCGGTTTGCAGCCCGGGTGCTCCCAGGTTTCACGGGTCTCCAGGAGAGCTTGGAACTCTGCAAATCGGAGCCCTGAAAACAGGAATGCTGCTGCAGTCACAAATCAAAATAAATCTTGATAAGATCAGAATTTATAACAGATGTTCAAATTCCAAGGAGGGTTTTGTTCATGTTTTTTTCTGAATTTCTAGGAAAATGCATTTTTAAATAGAGGAACAAGCATAGTTGTATTTTTTTTTTCTAAAGGGTGTGTAAATAGACAATTTTGTGTAAAAGCAAATACCTTCCAATGAGTCTGTCTCCTTACCAGCGGAATGGGAAGGCAAGAAAAAAAGTGTTTCTGCTCAGCTGATCTTATCAGGATTTGTTCTGTCTCTATCGCTTGCATGCTCATTGCCGCACTTGGCTCTGCCGACGCACGGTCTGTGTGCACCATCGGCTGCGTTCCAGCTTGTCCGTTCCTTTATGCTTTTACCATACACGATATTTCCAAAACGCAAATTATTTTTCTGTATACGACAGGGAGCTGGGAAGTCGTTTAGACTGGATACAAATGTTCGTCTCTTCAGTAATCTGCTTTGTTTTATCGGGGGGTTTCCTTCTTCCTCTTGGACAAAGTAGCGCCCCAGCTGGTGTTGAAGGAACTCTTGCTCCCAAGGCATTTTCCATTAAAATCCAGAAGATTTAGCATATGTAATGAAGGAGAGATCGGTACGTTGGCAGTTTATAAATCCCGGTTTTAAAGCAAGATTAAGACACGGGCGTCCAAAGCTGGTACCCTTGGTTCCCATGCTGTTTTGTGAAATACTTCAGTGGAGTATCTTACATTAGGGTGGATCTGGATATAGCTTTGGAGGAGCACGTATGGAAGTGGTTTTCGATCAGAACTAACGCTTCCCTACGTGTGCGGTCTGACCTGATCATCGCAGCGCCAGTGGCTCTCCCTTCACTCCCATTAAATGCATTTTCCTACAACATATCCCAAGAACTTAAGAGAAGCCCCAGAGGCTGGAAATCCTAATGGACAGAAATCTTACAGGTAACCTATCTGCAACACAAAAGCAAGGAACTGAAAAATCCCCAGGAGGCATGGGGGAGGAGTCATTTCTTGAACCGATGCTAAAATAAGCATCTAATTGTTCCTCCGAAAGGGGCTCCTATTGCACTGTCCTGTTAGATGGGGTCAATCAGGGTGAAAGCCTCCGGGCTACAGAAAATGCATTGTACCAGATAACCTGCAGGCTTCAGAGCTCACATTTTAAGCAAAAATTACTGGTTTTTGGTTGCCCAGAGAATCTTCTTAATAGAAAGTGAGGCAACAGTATCTGTTCACCTTAATACTGCCACCAAAATTAGAATAACGGGTGACAGCAATGCACTTGCCATATGTGTATGAAAATGTAATGGCTGGTTTTGGACATACAGCTAGTGGCTATTTTTATACCAATTTACCAGAAACCAGCCATGAGGTTAATGATTGAGCAGTCTCAGTGGCATTGATGAAGCAGCAGCCCTCTGGGCTTTCCCTCCTTGTTCCCTGATGCTGGATGATGTGACAGCTTCGATATGTGTAAAATTCCCCGTAGCTGCTTATTCTGCCCTTTCTCGATGACAGCTTTCCATGCCAATAATGAGAAACACAATTTCCAGCACAGGGCAGGACTGTCACCGTCATTCACCGCCGGTGACCAAAGTGTCCCTGCCCATGGCAGGGGATGGCGCTGGATGATCTCTAAGGTCCCTCCCAACCCAAACCATCCTGCGATTCTAGATGAAATATTCATCATTAGGTGGAGTTAGGTGGTGTTGGGTTGGACTTGATGATCCTTGAGGTCTTTTCCAACCTTAATGATTCTATGATTCTATGATTTGGGCAAACAGCTGAGTTTTGCTAAAGCTTTCTGTCTTGTTCGCGTTTTAACTCTTCTCTTCTGTCCATGTTGCTTCCCTCCTGCCTCGAGGGCTCCCAGAGATGTGGGAAGACCTAGTTGAGACCTTACTAACGAGCCGCACGGAGGGCGGAATAGCACAGCCTTGGTTAGACCCCCTGGCTCGGCACGCTCGTCCCAGATATCGCAGGTGCTCCAGACGTGCTGCCGGCTTCTCGGAAGGCTGAGTTGCTCCGTTACCTGTCTCCCCTCCCGTGCACCATCCCAAATTCCAATTCTATTGTACCTCCAGGAGGTTCAGCTACCACAAAGGTTTCCGTGTGCCAGCTGCTTTTGGGATCAGGTGTGTTGGGATGTTTTGGTAGGCATGGGGAAAAGGTCAAATGTGGATTGTTGAGCTATAGACTGACCCTCGCGCTTGGTGATGATGGGTCAGCACACACCAGCGTGAACTCTGGCTTTCCAGCTCCAGGCTGTGTTTCTTTATTTCTCAGCTGGAAAGTTTTGTGCTGAGTTAATGGAACTGGTTTGTCTAGGAAAAAAATAAATAGTACAAATTCTTTTGGACGACCAGACCCCATCATCCATTCAGGAGCCTCTTGGTAATTGGAGCAGCTGATTTCAAGACTAACTTGGAGATATTCTGCTATCATTGTACCCATGCCCAGTCTGTTAGTTATCCTGGAGAAACAGCAAACAAGGTGCTCGGAGGTGTGAGTGTTCCTGGGGCGAGGAAGAGAGCAGGGCACAGGCTCTGCGGGTTATTCGGGGCTTGTTCTTCTAACCTCCATATGCAGATTAAAAACACAGCATAAAAGATTTCAAGGAGTTAAAAGCAGAATTGGGGATGGTTTTAGTGTGGTCGGTGGGTTTTATTGCACACGTGGAATTTGGATGTGAACAAGTCCCCACGTCCTACACCGAAATCATTCCTGTTTCCAAACTGGGCAAAAAGAGCTGCGTGGTGGCTCTTCCTTTAGGTGCAGAGAGTTGTTTAATATTAATTCTTTAAACTTTAGGAGAGTGGATTATTAACATCCCAGGAAGGCGGTGCCAGTGAATGCACCGGACACCCCATGTTCCACAAAGGTTTTCCAGCTTCCAAGTGTCCGAACCTGCTCCCATTGCATGTGTTACTGGAGATGTACGACAAGAAATCGATGTTTTGCCGTGATGCTTCACGACCTCCTGCTCTCCCTAACGCTCTCTTTCTCTCTCTCTCTCTCTCTCTCTTTGGCCTTTTTTTGTGTATCCTTTCTTTTTAGAAAATGATGAGTGACTTTCTCTCCCGAGAGGAGGATGTGGCTGCAGTGCCAGAGAGGAGCGGTGTTGGCTTTGTGCGGGGGGGCTCAAAGCAGTCAGTAGCTTGTAGTGACACCCCAGTGCCCCCCGCCCCAGAGCCTTCTCCCAGCTGGGACTTTGCTGCTTCCTCCCTGAGCAGCGAGGAGGAGGAGGAGGCGGCAGCTCCCAGCCTCCCTGCCAGCGAGGAGGACCTGAGATGTGAAAAGGGGGTTTGTGCGGATGCGGAGAAGGACGGGGAGGTGTCAGAGCCGGAGCCCCCCCCCAGCCCTGCCGCACCCCCCCGGCAGCCCTGGGGAGGAGAGGAGGAGGATGGTGAAGACACATTTGCCTTTAGAGAGCTAAATGGCGAGTGTCCCGACTCGGAGGTTGATAACGGGCTGCCGG